TGAATGAGTGTATGAGTGAATGAATGAATGAGTGAATGAATGAATGAACGAGTGAATGAATGAGTAAATGAATGAATGAACGAGTGAATGAATGAATGAACTTGTCTCACTAAGGGTTTCCATCACAGGAGCTCAGACCCGGTCCAGACTCTACTGGGTTTGGTGGTCCTGGATTAGACGGGGGTCTCTTGAACTCACCTGTCCCTGTCATGTCTTTATAGAACAGGTCTGCACACTTAAGCTCCACCTCCTTCTTTGTGTGAGGGCCATTCAAAAGTTAGATCCCAACATGGCGACCGCCTTTGAAGTGGTCGATACGAGACAAACGTCCACGTTTTACACAGAAGCGGGTTTTTCCGCCATGAAGAGTCCTGATCCCCCATTTCCACCACATCTGGAATGGCGGCGATGATTTTCGACATCCGCCAAGAAGTCGGTGTAAATTGACACGTGAACTTGAATGTTTACGATCAGCTACGATCGGAGGATACGACCTTTTAGGAGACGATCAGGATGAAGGTGGAGATTAGGGGTAAGTCTCTTTTGGAAAGGACAGTTGGACTTACTTAAGTAAGTCCAACTGTCCTTTCAACGAAGAACTGGAAATCCTAGATGCTGCATCCTCAGATTTAGACAATATCTCCAGGTCTAGGAGCAACATCTGTGTCACTTCCTAACCCCGCCCACATCCCTCCTCTACAGTGTGTCACATCCACAGGTCAAAGGTCATCTATGTTTACCTCAGCTGGCAGAGATGACAGGATGTGAACGACCGCCTGGAGAGAGAGAGAGAGAGTCAGAGTTCAGGTCTGCTGTGTGTCGTCCACACACTCCTCGTCTGTCTGATAACACACACACACTCAGAGGTCAGAGGTCACTGCGCTCTCCTCAGGTCGGTGTGGATGAGCTCTGATCAGCTTGACGCTCATGTCGGGACTGAACCGTCTTCAGATGGACTCTGTGGGCCGATGAGGATCTGGTTCCAGTGTCTGATTTATCCAAACCGTCACTGTCAGCTCAGGTTTATGACCTCTGATGACATCATAGACTGGAGATAAAACGGACGCCGTCTGCCTCACAACCAATACTCCTTATAGAGACAACTCGTTATCTCACGATCGAACGTGAATCCGCCGGTTCTTGTGAGTTCTCACGTTTACCGCTGTCCGTAATCTGACACGGAATTCGCCTCACGAACTGATACAGTAGGAATTGGCGTACGGCGAAAATTGCCGCCCTTCCAGATGGGGGGAGAATTGGGGGTAAACAGCCTCTGATTGGTTGGTTGAAAGTATTGACGCTGAACTATAACAGGAATCTAATCATGTAAAAGTCATCAGTATTGACGAGTATCAAAGTATCCAAGTATTGACGACCTCAGTTCAGCGGGCTGACATCACTGTTTGTATCTTTAAAGGTCTGATCAGTGATTTTATCGGTACATTATTGATTATTAACAGAAGAAACCAGGCATCTGATTGGACAGGACGGTTCATGTTTATTGTGATTGGCTGACAGAGACACCCCCCCTCACCCAACAGACATCCATGTATGTTTACTAGAACTGATCCAGACCCGGACACCAGAGTCCAGACCGGATCAGAACTAAACAACCGGTCACAGGATTTCAAACTCCTGGATCGACCAATCAGCAGAGACATAAATGATGACATCACAGCAGCCCTCAATGTGAAGACCCCTAATTTAAACTCTCAACAGTGTACGGTAAGGAGCTCGGAAGTTGCCATAGAAACCGCCCCTGTGGTGTTTCTGTTATTTGAGTGACAGGTCTGAGCACCAATAGAAGTTGGAGGAGAGTCCTGAAGTCAGTTTGGGTTTATCAGGTTTTGGTCTGAACACATTCATCCTGTCAGATCTTTTGGGTCTGTAGCACATGTAGACGATCTGATTGGTCGGTTTGTTGGTGGTGGATCTGATACCTGGGGCCTCATTAACATAAACACACTCTGGTTTCTATGGACACAAAAACTAACAAACTGACTTCAGACGTGATCTTTGGTCCTGAACATTCATCCTCCTCCTCAGCTATGAAACTTTTCAGATTCTCTTTACAAAATAAAACAAAAGTTCCTCCTGAAATGTGAGTTTAGTACAAAAAACAACGACGTCTTACTCTGCTCTTACTCAAAACATGATCACAATAAAATATCAGGTATAAAAAGTGCTAAAATACAAAACAGTTCTGCTCTTTGTTCGGTTGTTTTCCTCCCACACACTTTGAAACCAGTTTAGTGTTTGAAATCTTGGCAGTGGTTTTCTCCTTAGAGGTCAAAACTGGGATCAAAGTTCAAACTGACAGATCGGACTTTCTTCGATTGTTTTGGTATTAAAGTACTGAAAGTCCACAGCGATCAGATGTACGAACCTTTTTAAGGTTTAAAAACAGACAGAGATCCGTCAGTGTGGGGACATTCGAGGAAAAAGGCTCATTCAAATACACTTGACTACTTTTTTCTTAAACCAGGTTTACATTCCGGCCTTGACTTAACGCTGTAGTTTACTCTGATGGTCTGCGTGGCTCCGGGGCCCGTACAGGGGCCCACATACTTAGCTTGTTGTGCTATAACTGCGGGATGATCGGCTGCTGCTCAACATCTATCAGCTCAAACCAACACAATTCGCTCAGATTCAGTTACCATGGTTTCCTGTCAAAATGTCTGTCATAGACCACACACTGCCAACTAGTGTTAAGGTAGGGTATTGCAGAGTGATGTAGACTCTCCAAAACACGCATATGTAGTGCTCATGACACTGAAGGTCCCTGTGGCGTGGAGTCAGCGCAGAAATACGGGCCAGAAACCCTTTAGTGTCGGTGCCACATTTAAAGAAACTCACAGTCCTTTCCAGAGTCTTTAGTGGGTCTGAAAATCTTCCTGAAAATCTCCTCAGACTTTCAAAGAGCTGCAGAATCTCAGCAGACTTGGATTAAACTTGGAGAATGATCTAAAAAAAGTTTGTAAAAGAGCTTTAAAAAAGTTGATGCCTGAAAAACACATGAAGATTTTCTCAGAATGTCCACTCTGGGCGTCTGCAGCGCTTCCAGAAAAGTCCTCACACATTATTCCGAGGATGACACTAAAACATCTTTAGAGCATGTCGATGAGTTACGACATAAATCCACCCAGAGCCTCTCGACATCCTTCAGGAAGATATTCCATTGTTTTTGGAGCATACCGAACAGTCTGTTTGGAATATCAGAGCCATTTTTCCTGTTCTCCAGAAACATGTCCTCAACAAATCCTCAAAGTTTAAATCCTGAATATTCCAGATGGAGAACCAAGAACTGAAATTTCTCTGAAGATAAAAATTCCTCATCCGCTGCTCCTGAAATGTCCCTCAGCTCAGAGCCGTGTTAGAGGGAGTTCAGGACCTTCAGTTGAGCCGTGAGCTGATCCCTCAAAATATGTGTTTTTTGACTTGACAGAACTACAAGAGCGACTAAAAGCGTCCACCCAGTTAGTTTCATTTTTACTTCCAGTAGAATCCAACAGATCAGAGTTTAGTCCACCGCCATCGCTGAGACTTCTGAAAATTTAAGGCATTCTGGTGCTTTGGCTTCGATAGATCCTCTGAGGGCCGGCTGATCCAGAAAGACTGTTCGAAGGACACGTTTGGGAGCCAATCCCACAACGGCGTGGCAGAATGAGTGCAGCCACAACATCTTGTATCTCAAAAGAGCGTCAATCAAACTGAGTCGGCACATCCGGTCCCCTTCTGTGTCCTCCCCCTACTGGTTTGCAAGATGGAGCGTTGGTTTTCCTGAGCAGCGGTTGGCTGGTTTGGTCATACAAGTGAAGTATCCTGAGTGTTTAACAAGATGCTCTAAAACCTATCCACTGTTCTGATTGGTCAGAAGAAGTCAGTAGGCGGAGTCTTGTCTCTTTCTTCAGAGTGTTTGAGAGTCTTTGTGCTTCCTTAGTGTCACTTATCTCTCTTTGTTTCAATCACTCTTGTTCAAGGCTCCTGATTGGTCGAAAGGACACATCGGATCACAGTTCAGCTTGGTCCTGAGTGTTCTGGTTTTTGGGCATCATGGCAGGGAAGGGCTGTGATTGGTCAGTAAAGCAGGGTGGGCGGGGCTTTGTGTATCCTGAGTGTCTGGATGGAGGAGAGGATCTTCTTTTGGTGGCCAGCGAGGGTCACGCCCACTCTGAGCAGGTCTCTGTGGAAACAGGGAAACGTTACTCTTCACAGAGGTGAGTGTTACACCTGGATGAGTCGGTCTGTACAGGTGAGTGTTCGTACAGTCGTGAGTCTGGTTTCTTACTCTGTGTTGAGCTGGGAGACGATGTCCAGGCTGTTGAAACCCGCCTGCAGGAAGCTCGGCTCATATCGCTCCATCTTGATGGCTCGGAGCCACTCAGAGACAGAACCGCAGGCTGAGAGAGGAGGGGGGATCCGCTGGTCTAAGAGAGGCTGGGACGAACTGGGACACAGAGACAGAGACAGAGAGTCAGGAGGACAGTTTCAGACCCACACCGTCAACATTTAACAACACAGACAGATGCTGGACTTTGTTTGGACCAGGTTCACTCAGTGACGGGAAACTCCAGAGTTTACAGCTGACCTCCTGACCTCCTGACCTCCTTCCAGCCCTGAAGTAACCTGAGATCCTCCTCCAGGTCAGTCCAGGTCAGATCTTAAATCTGTAGGTGGGCCGGCCCCTCAGCAGAGGGTTCACCTGCTGGAGGAGATCAGGACGGCTGACACAGAGAGGAACCCTCATGAGAAACCCACCGCACCTAAACCTGCGAATCCACCGACCCAGAGCCTGGAGGAGCGGCGCTGAGGCGCCTTCAGGACAGACAGGAAGATTTCCCATGATGCAACAGAGGAATTACATATCTGATCTGGTGCTGTTCAGAGAAAGCCCCCCAGACAAGAAGTCATGTGACTCCTGATGTGCCGGCGCTCCGTCACTCTGAGGAGAGGAGAGGAAGACACCTTGGCGAACCTCACCACAACTTCTACCCTCACCACCATCGTCTAACCTCCACGCCATTGCCAAACCTCACCGCCATCATCTAACCTCCACGCCATCGTCTAACCTTACTCCCCGCCATCCTCCAATCTCACCGCCATTGTCAAACTGTCTATCCTCATCGCCATCTTCTAACCTCATGTCTGACACACTCATGGTTATTCTTCACAAACATCAACTGACAGACAGGAAATGACATCACTCTATTCCGTGACCACTCTGCACCTGCTCATGTAAACACTCTGTATAAACAGCTGTCAATCACACGGCAGACCCCGCCCCCTGCACACACACACACACATGTGTTTGAGTGTGTCTTTGTCTCGGCGGCAGACTCTGACCTCTGACCTCTGACCCCCAGCAGCTGCTGCATTAATCACATTCCAGACCTGTCAATCACCCCGGCGCACAAACGCGGCGTGTAAACGAGACTCACCTCGGCCCCTCCGGGTGCGTCACCTTCAAGGAGGCGGGGTTTCGGATCAGCCTATCGAGCGAGGCCACCACGTCACAGAACCTCGGCCGATTGGCTCGTTCTTTCTGCCAGCAGTCCAGCATGAGGGCGTGTAGGGAGGAGGGGCAGTCAGGGGGCGGAGGCAGCCGGTAGTCCTGCTCGATGGCGTTGATCACCTGAAGGTCACAGAGAAAGACGATAAAAACTAAACCGACAAAAACAAACACGATCAATCAAACGACGTTTGATTGATCCCTGATCATCGATCAATAAAACACAAACGCCTGTTTCTCTTACGTCTTGGTTGCTCATGTCCCAATATGGCCGTTCCCCGTATGACATCACTTCCCACATGACGATGCCGTAACTCCACCCATCACTGGCTGAAGTGAACTTCCTGCAGGTCGACAAAATAAGAGTTTAATCGACTTCATTGATTAAGGAGAGCCTTGAATGGTTGTTTCCGCTGCAGTACCGACTCTCACCTGTAGGCGATGGCCTCAGGAGCCGTCCAGCGAATCGGAATCTTTCCCCCCTGAGAGGTGATAGAGATGGTTAGCTAAACTAGCAGGAAGTCTTTCAAAATAAAAGCCTTACATGAAGAGCTGACTGACCAGAGAGCTGGTGTAGGTGGGGTCAGACGAGTTCTCCGTCAGGAAACGACTCAGACCGAAATCTGACACCTGGAAACAAACGCAGACGGTCAGAGAGCGACGGCGAGGAGACGGACGGGTGAGACGGCAGACAGGTGGGCGGAGCCACTCACCTTACAGACCAGGTTCGAGTTGACCAGGATGTTCCGAGCCGCCAGGTCTCTGTGGACGAAACTCATGTCCGACAAATACTTCATCCCCGCCGCGATCCCGCGCAACATCCCGACCAGCTGGATGGTCGTGAACTGTCCGTCGTTCATCTGAGGAGAGAGAGAGAGAGAGAGAGAGTGGGGTGAGTCAGAGAGAGAGAGAGAGAGAGAGACAGGTGTGTATGTGAGCCTCGCCCCCGTCTCACCCTCAGGAAACTGTCGAGCGCCCCGTTCTCCATGAACTCGGTGAGGATCATGACGGGACAGGAAGTGGTGATGACGCCCTCCAGGTGGATGATGTTCGGGTGCTGGAACTGACCCATGATGGACGCCTCCGACAGGAAGTCCCGCCTCTGCTTCTCCGTGTAGCCGCCCTTCAGGGTCTTGATGGCGACATAGTTCTCCTTCCTGCCCGGGACCCTGAGCCGACCACGACACACCTCGCCGAACTCGCCTGGACAGGTAGAACGACAGGAACCATGTGATCAGACTGAAGAGGCTTACTGTCCCTTTAAGACTCATTAGTGCATACCAACACCTCCACACCTCAGACATGTGTGTGTGTGTGTGTGTGTGTGTGTGTGTGTGTGTGTTTGCGCCCTTGTTTCCGCGGTAACAGCGCCCTTGTTACATCGGTAACAGCGATCATGTTACATCTGACTAACGCCATCACCAGAGAGTCCTACTGTTACAGTGGCTGCACACACAAACACTCACACACACACACACTCACACACAAACACACTCACACACACACACACACACACACACACACACTCACACACACACACACTCACACACACACACACACACACACACACACACACACACACACACACACACTCACACGCACACACACACACTCTCTCACACACACACACACACACACACACACACACTCACACACACACACACACTCACACACACACACACACTCTCCTGTGTTTACTTTAATAAAACAGGATTGATGCGGCGCGCTCAGATCTGATGTCGGCGTTTTCTCCCCTGACGACGGGAAAATGAACGCTCTCCTCTCAGGGGGTCAAAGGTCACAAAATCATCTGGCAGACATTACAAAATAAAAGTCTCCCCCTAAAACCCGCCGCTGTGTTTTACAAAATAAAAGTCCTCTCTGACGTCTCTGAGGTTTTTCAAAAGTTCCACCAGGAGGACGTTTCCAAACTGAACAGCACTGATCGGAAAGTTACGACGGAGTTTTAGGGACACGTTACGAAAAAATAAAGACCTTGGGATTAGAAACATTACTTATGAGAACAAAATCGTAATAAAATCCTTATTTACGATTATTTACTTGCCTATTCATATTAGTCATGATTTTATTACGACTTTATTATCGTAAGTTATTTCTTTATTACGATTTATTTTCGTAAGAAATAACCTTTATTACGACTTTTCTTGTTAGTTGTTATTTTATTACGACTTCATTCTCTTAAGTTATTATTTTATTACGATTTTTTCTCGTAAGTTTCTTTTATTACGACTAGATTATTGTTAGTTATTACTCTATTACAATTCATTTTCGTAAGTAATTACTTTAGTACGACTACATTCTTGTAAGTTGTTATCTTGTTACGACTTTATTCTCATTAGTTATTATCTTGTTACGACTTCAATCTTGTAAGAAATAACCTTTATTAATTCTTTATTCTCGAGTTATTATTTTATTGCTATTTTTTCTCGTAAGTTATTTCTTAATTACGGCTAGATTATTGTAAGTTATTATCTTATTACAACTTTATTGTTGTAAGAAATGAACTTTATTACAACTCTATTCTTGTAAGTTATTATTTTATTATGACTTTATTCTCTAAAGTTATTACTCTATTATGATTTATTTTCGTAAGTTGTTTCTTTATTTTGACTTTATTCTCGTTAGTAATTACGAAGTCCTATTTTTTTATTTTTTTTTATGTGGCCCTGATACTCTGTCGTAGAAATTCTTTAAAAGTTTCTTAAAAAGTTGAAATAAAATCAATAAAATGTCTTTCTGAAGTTTCCTGGAAAAACCTTGAACTTATCCCTGGAAAGTCCTTAAATCCTGTGTAAAGTGACCTCATAAATTCAAGGTTGGATTTAAAAGTCTTCCCGGCTCTGTTTGAGGTTCCTCATCTCCAGACTTCTGACCTTCACACTGAGCAGGAGAACTGCAGTTCCCTGACTGTCCACCAGAGGCTCACTGCAGGAGCTCCACTTTCAAAATAAGAGCGTGACGAACATCTGTTTCATGACCTCGGCTAACCTCCTCCTCTTTTCTAAAATAACATCGCTGTTTCCGATCTTCGCTCACGTCCCCGATGATGATGACACTCCTGTAGACGTTCTCGAACCCGAGTGTCTCACCTGCTCCGATCACCTCCTCGATCTTCACGAAGGACGCCTCGATCTCTTTGGCGAACTCCCTCACCGCCTCGTTGGGGTCCTCGTAGGTAAACGGGTCGATGTACACCTTCATCGCTACGACAACGACACCACAACAACGTCATCAGTTAGTCACCTGCGGTCTGATTGGCTAAAATCAAACTCAAACCTGATTGGTTGATACTCACTCTGTCCCATCTGGTAGTGTCCGCCTTTATCGTTGGCGTCCGAGTCCCTCGCTCTCCTCCTGATGACCACAGACACACACACACAGACACAGACACAGACACAGACACACAGACGCTTCTTTAGTTTTCAGCAGCTGCAGGATTCCTTATTTCCCGTGAGACACACACACACACACACACACACACACACACACACACACACACACACACACGCTCCTTTCTTCTCTCTCTCTCTCTCAGGAATGTTATTATCTCTCTCTATCTCTCTCTCACAGTGTCGAGTTTCTCCATCTTAATATAGTCGACGTGTCCCACCCTGCTCTCTGAGTGTGTGTGTGTGTGTGTGTGTGTGTGTGAGTGTGTGTTTGTGGGTGTATACAGTGTGTGTGTGAACCTGAGGTCAGTGTTTCATTGTTCTGTCGAGGCCAGCAGGGAGGGAGCATCCTGAACACACACACACACACAGACACACACACACACACACACACACACACACACACACAGACACAGACACACACACACACACACACACACACACACACACACACACACACACACACACACACACACCGGCCTCTCTCTGCAGTCTGAGTGTATTTTAGTGTGATGAGTATTAAAGGGACAGTCAGTGTTTTTGAGGTGAGTCTGTGTGTCTCTGAGCTGCAGACAGACCAGCCTGACTCTCATGTCGGAGTCCTGAAAGGTTCCTAGGTAGAGCGTGCTCTTAAAGGGATATTCCAGCGCGAAATCAGTCAAACACACCGTAACACCGAGTTAGACCCCCCCTCCAGAGATGAATGTTGTCGACCGCTTCCTTCTCTAGTTATACCAACTTTAGTAACGACCACAGGATAGAAATACAGAGAGCCACGCCCTCAACCAAAACGCCACTCTATAGCCACAAATAATGCTCAGAACAGCACCTAACTTCATCAACAGGACATATAGGGTCACAGACATAGTACTAGACACCAAACATCTTTTTAACTTTGACTCATTTCTTTAACAAAGAGACTAAATGAAAAGGTAAAGGTGTTTTTATTGAGCCGAATTATCAATAAAATCATGATTTTGTTAACAGGTATGGATTTATGTGCTGTTGAGTTAATATATTTGAACAAGAGCACAGTAAAGTTAAATCAGCTAATTTTCCAATGAGGTTCTGTTACTAAACGGAACTACACCATGTTCTACTGAGGTTAGTACATATAGGGTCACAGACATAGTACTAGACACCAAACATCTTTTTAACTTTGACTCATTTCTTTAGCAAAGAGACTAAACACAACTCACCTACTCTCTTCCAGCAGACGCTTGTTTGTAGAGAGACCTCAGGCCAGTCCATTACAGACTACAGCGGGGTGACGCAGCTCAAGGAAGAACATTTATGGTCATTTCTTCATTTTTTACGACAGAATTTCCCTTTAAACTGTTTGGGTCAGTCTCTAAATTAAATTAGCTGAACTCCACGCGACGGTTTATTTCGACAAAGGGGGCGAGCTGACCGATGCCCACCTACTGAAACTCTGAACCGTCCCTTTAAGAGCAGACTGAAGGTTCCACCCGAGGTACTGACTGAACGATGCGACCAGGGAAAAAACTGCAGTCTGGGTTAAGACTGAGGTCCCGATCTGTCTTACCTGTAACAGTACAGAGCAACCATCGCCATGGCAACGAGCAGAAGTATCCCCATGGAGACCAGGACCCCCGTCAACACCAACTGGGAGTGACCCACACCTTAAAAACACACAAACAAACACTTCACACACCGACCTCTGGTGAGGGAGTACATGGTCCCTAAAAAGGTTCCTGGTCTTCCTTAAAGATTTCGGTTCCCTCACAAGATGTTTAGTTTTTGGTTTCACACAAAAGGTTCTGGTTCCCCTAAAGGGTTCCTGGTCTTTCTTGACATTCTTAGAATCTTTGAAAGTTCCTAGTTCCTCTTAATGAAACGTGGTTCTCTAAAGGTTCCTGATTACTCTGAGTGTTTATAGTTTGTCCATCTTTGTCCAAAAAGTTCCTTTGACTTAACAGGATCTTTAGTCCTCTAAAGAATTATGGTTCCTCTAAAAGGTTCCTTGTTCATGTTAAAGCTCTCTAGATCTTTGGGTTTATGATTCATAAAAGGTTCTTGGTCTGTCTAAACGCCTTCTTGTTTTTCTGCTGATTCCTTATTCTCTCTTAAAGATGCTGGTTCTCCATAGGTTCCTTGTTTTTAAAAAGGTTTCTGGGCCCTCTTTGGGTTCTTACTTAAAGGTTCCTGGTTCTGGACTTTCTTTCAAAAAGGATCCATTAAAAGTTCTTTTTTCCAAAAGCCTTTTAGTTCCTTTAGAAGTTCCTGCTTATATATAATTCTTGGTTCCTACTAAAGATGCCTGGTTATCCTCAAAGTTCCAGGTTCTTTTGACAGATTTAGTATTTTCCTAAAGGTTCTGGTTCTTTGAAAAGATTTGTGGTTCTCTAAAGGTTCCAGGTTCCTGGTCAGTGTTTGAGCAGTGGAAACCTGTCCTTAGAGGAACATGAGGAAACTTTGTATCGATCCGAAACACTCTGTGATAAAGAAGCTAAAAAGGTCCAGGAACTTTTGAGGGAACTTTAGATGGTTTTAGTGGAAAAGTGAGGAACTCTTATGTCTGATCCATGTTTTAATGAGATCTCAGGTTTCTGGGCCCTCTTTGGGTTCTTTCTTAAAGGTTCCTGGTTCTGGACTTCCTTTCAAAAAGGATCCATTAAAAGTTCTTTTTTCCAAAAGCCTTTTAGTTCCTGCTTATATATAATTCTTGGTTCCTACTAAAAATGCCTGGTTTTCCTAAAAGTTCCAGGTTCCTTCGGCAGATTTAGTATTTTCCTAAAGGTTCTGGTTCCTCGTCAGTGGAAACCTGTCCTTAGAGGAACATGAAGAAACTTCAGGTTGATCCGAAACAGTCGGTGATAAAGAAGCTAAAAAAGTCCAGGAACTTTTGAGGGAACTTTAGATGGTTTTGGTGGAAAAGTGAGGAACTAAATTTAAACACGCAGACATTGATGATTGACAGGCGTCCTCGTACCGTCAGGCAACGTGTTGAAGCTGCTCGCCGCGTTGAAGGATCCGTACCCGGCCTGCGAACGAGCGCGGACCTGGACCTGGTACTGGGTGGCCCGCTGCAGCCCTGACAGAACCACCGAAGAAGACCTGCTGGAGACGTACTGCCACTGCCCCGCCTCCTCGCCATCCTGGTGACGTACAGATGACGTCAGCGGTTATACTGCTGTGTGTGTGTGTGTGCGCGTGTGTGTGTGTGTGTGTGTGTGTGTTTACCTTAGGAGTGTAGCGGAGCTGGTAGTCCAGGATCTGGTACTGACTCTGCAGAACCGGGACGTCCCACTCTAAAGACAGACTGGACTCTGAGGCCGCCGCCCGCTTCAGACCGAACACAGGGGGCGGGACTAAACACACACACACATACACACACAGTTAGAACTACAGATCTGGGAGCACAAACAGCCCGTTGGTATGAAAGGCATTCTGGGTAATGTAGTGTGACTCTGAGTCTTACCGTCTTTGCTGGTGGTGACGTTGACTCTGTCTGAGGCCGGCTCTGATTGGCTGAGAGCAGACACTCCGTTCAGTGATTGGACGGTGAAGATGTACCTGGTGTGTGGGCGGAGCCCCCAGACGACCACGCGGCGCTGAGT